CAAGATCAAATATTCTTGTTCTTCACTCCAAAGCTAAAGATTCAAAGTAGGGGTTTTCTCTCATTCACTTACATTGAGGCTAGGGTATTTATATATGTATGTTTTGGCTATCAATGATATATATATGCTATGGAATCATCCTCTCTTAGGCTTTTTGCAAGGGTTACATGTTTTGAACAAAGTAGGGTTTAATACCCATGAAATCTCCTTTCTAGTTTTAAAATCCTAATTTTTGGAGAGTGATGTATTTTCTTCCTAAATGCTTTATTTATTATGGATTTCAAAACTTTAGTACTTTGTGTTGGGTAAAAAAATGATGTTATTGTGATCTCATGTATTTTCTTAGTTGGCTGTGGAATTGCTATATGATATATTTTGGGGATTTTGGATAGATGCTTGTAAATTGAGATAAATGTTGGAATTGTGTGCTTGGTTGGGTTGTTTGTGATGCACATGAGTGAGAGGTTCCTTGTAAGGATACTCACCCCTTCCTAAGAGGTTCCCGATAGGGATGCTTGAGAAATAATGTAGTGATTGGCGAGAAGTTCCATATAAGGATGCTCATCCATTTTCAAGAGATTACCGGTAAAGATGCTTGAAAATTAAAGGTGACCTAAAGGGGGGTGGAGGTTACCACAAAGTATGCCACCTACCGAAAAAATTGTTGGAAATTGGTTATGACAATTAATGGTTATTATTTGTATGTGGTGCTCATTTATTCATTTAAATAATATTTTTAAATAAACTTGAGATCCTTTTTAAATGTCACTGCTTTATTTCAAATTATGTATCTATGTTATGTTAAAATTGAGACCGACCATTTTAAATGCTTTTCTAAACCTTGTATGGGTTTGAGAGAATTTTCTACAGAGCCTTGTGCTCACCCCCTATCGCTAACATTTTTCAGATTATCCGCTTGAGAAGGAGGACGTAAGGGTCGAGGGGCCCGCTACTTGGGAAACTCCACTGGACGGAAGTGTGGATCCCAAGGTGGACGCATAGAGCGACCTCTTTTCTTTTTGTACTAGACTAGGACATTCTTTTGGAACATTGTGTAATCTAGCTTCTTTTGTTTATTCTGCTGCTTCTTTAATTAATTTTTGAGATGTAATAGCCATGACTTGGGCTTATTCTTTTGAATAATGTTGTAAATATTCGTAGATGACAAATGAAGTCTTGTTTCTTAAGGGATTATATTAGTGCTCTCATGATATGAATGATTTTAGAATGTAATGCCGTCGAGGGTGTGTTTTGGGGCGTTACATTTTCGCCTCGTAATGTAATAGTATTGCAGTGCTCCTTATCTACCCTCTTAGGATTGATCTCTGTATCACTGGGTAAAGTGTCTTGAGGTCGGTTGTTAATGACATTAGCAAGCTGACCCATTTGGTTTTTTAGGTTTCGGATTGATACTTCCATATTGTTTATCCTTGTCTCATTCTGTGATATGTACCTGGAAAGCAACTCCTCCAAATTTGACTTCTTTTCCTGCAATAGTGGAGCTTGATTTTGAAAATGTAGTGGGTATGATTGTCTTGGAGCAGAG